GAGCGCTTCCCCGCCTCATTTCCGTTTTCCTTCTGTTTCTTGCCCGCCTACTCCCCCCCCCGCGTTCTTGTTGCTGCTTGTCTGGATGAGTCTGACACAGAGTCCAGCTGTCTGCGCCCTCCCAAGTAGTATTTCAGCATTTTATGACTGCTATTTGCACTTCATACTGCGTACTGTGTAATCCGATGACTTTGGCTATTTAGGAAAGGGACCAGTGTGACCTAATCTCTTAACATAGCAGCCTGCACACACACGCTCACGTACGTATTAAATTAAAGAAAGTGCATGTATGTTGTTTGTGCTCAACTCAAAAACTGCATAAAAAAGATAATCTGTTTTTGTCTGTTGGCTGTTAGCTGAGTAACGGCATCCTTTAGCTTTGTTTAAATTCATTGCACACACAGTACAACACCTCTGCGTGTCTAGTTTTCTGTCACTGAAACTTGATGTATTCAGTAATAGAACACTTAAAATGAAATCAGCATATTTTAGAAGAGCTCACAGCCAACAGTTAAATACTGTGGTATCAACATCTGGATTGGATATCTGAAGCACAGGACAAAATACATTGACAGCATTTGTAAAACAATGAGATGCATTGATCTATCCTTCCAGAGAAACAGTCCTTTCAGTCTATGTGACAAAATGCAGATGAGAGGAAACAGGATAATATGTGGAGGTGTGACTCATGGTCCTTTTTATGATGGAGCTCCAGACACAAGCATATTAGCTGCTCATCCCTAACTTGGCTTTGCGATGCTTTTGAAAGAGCTTTTCATGCGCTCATTTAAAATATTAAAGCGACACTGATGATTTGACCCGGGAAAAAAAGTGAAGTTGCATAGACAAAATATTGCAATGCCATGACATGGCAGTAAGCTACCATGGTCAGCTCCAAAAATCACTTCGTATATGTGTAGACAGATATCTGGGAACCGCTGTGTTACAGCAATGCTGAAAAGACAAAGCAGCCAGTATACACAAACTGTAAGATACATTAGTAAAAGAGTAAAAGAGTGAACACTGTCACTTTGAAATGTGGCCATAGCTATCTTGTTGTTCATGCTTGCTGACATGTCTCCAGTGGAAAGCCTTTGGCTTCGGTTGAAATGGCGAACCACTTGCTCTTGAACTGTTTGCTTCATGTATTGTATTGTAAATGCTGTTACAGCGAAGTATCATATGCAAATGTAAACAAAAGTGGAAATTAAAGGTTTTTTCTAACCACATGACTTATAAAGTTGGCAGCATACAGCTGCAAATAAGTCAAATTTAAATAGTGCAGCTCTGAAAATATCTTCTCTGTAGATACAGTTCTTTTTGAGACTGAATGTCAGCCAGATTTCCCTGCGCTGTCTAAACTACTGCTATTAGCTATCAAAAGATGTCTGTTTCTATAACAACCGCAAGCTAAACAGTCAGTACACATGCTGCAGGTTTAAATCCTATGGTTGATGTTCTCTCACTCAATAGGTTTCCTTTCTTGACTGTCTTGTTCATTGCAATGGATTGACTAAAAATAACCACATACAACAACAAAAAAAATGATGAAAAGGGATTTTTTTTAAATGTTCTTGGCAGTCTTTCCCCTGTAGAGCTGCTTTACCATATCACCACACTAATGCCCCAGTGTTCAATCCCTGAACCACCCACACAGAAAAAATAAATACTTAGCATGTGAAGTTCTGATGGTTGGCGGCAGCACAGTTCAGGTCAGAGGCCTCATCGTGACTTGGAACCAATTGTTGACAATTGTCTGTGATTACACAGCGCCGGGGCGGGTGCCATGTGGAATCACGCACAGGTTGTCACATGTGATATAAGCAACAATCCTGGCTGGGGTATTTCTTGACCGTTGGCGGGCCAGCAATGGTGGAAGGTGGTAACGTTTTAGTAAGCCTCTTTCTCACTTCTTTCTTTCCCTCAATAACTGATCACGCACCCTCATCTTTCTGGCATGGAATGTTTTGCTGATGTTAATGCCAGAGAAGGTTTGCAACTTTGCAGTTATTGAGTCACCAGAGCGTTGGCGACTGTTGCGCATTTTCCGCTTCAGCATTCGACAACTTTACGTGGTCTGGCTCTTTGCGGCTGTTGCTGTGGTTCCTAAACGCTTCCACTTTGCAAAAATACCACTTAAAGTTGATTGTGGAATATCTAGAAAGGAAGACGTTTTACAGACTGACTTCTTGCAATGGTGGCTTCCTATTATAGTACCATGCTCGAATTCAGTGAGCTCTTTAAAACGAGCCACAATTTTTTTTTGCAAAAGCAGATTGCATGGTTAAGTGCTTGACTTTTACACTCGTGGCAATGGGACTGAAAACAGCTGAATTCAAAGACTAAGCAGTCTAGGCCTACATTTGTGTCCATATAGTGTTGCTGTTTGTAGGTAGCTTTCATCTGTGAAACACCAGTTACTGTATAGTGGGAAATGATCATTATCTGAATATGGGACATCTGTAAATAACAACTGCTCTCCTCTGGCTTGAGCATACAACTTGACAGTAGGATTTGAAAAGTACCCCAGCAGCCTGCCCCTCTACCCCATTTTACCATTAATGTCACACTCTAGGAATCATGTGGTCAGTTGGATATATAATTCTTTCATTTACCTGTGTGAATATTCATAATTTGATAATATTGCAAGGAATAAGCCATTCTGACAGCTGTAGAACCAATCATGCTAATTACTTCATAAATGCACAGTACTGACAATAACTTTTTTTACTACAGTATGTGATGAAAGCTGTAAACTGCATGGTCATTGTGGTCATAGCTGACACATCTGTATCGACCTCATAGTTTTCACATGCAAAGCTCAACGCGGTACTTTCCATAGACTCTGTTTCGCTAGTTCTCTGACCTGTATGAAGGGTAAACGGCCCAGGTTGATGAGTGATGATGAAAAAATTGGTTCTGAAGACCTTGTCAGCATGAAAGACATCACTGTTTGAAATTTGCTCCTGCGAGTCTAACTTATTGCTACCAGAGATTCCCCTACTTAGAGATATGGAAACATCTGCAGACATCCACACGTGCAGACTTTTGAGTTTCACATTTATGAGCCCTAATTTTCCAGCTGTCTCTCCCACTGTTTTGTCTCACACACAAACTTCCACTTTGTACTGTGTAAGGACTGACTTATGCACATACACACACAAAGACACATTAATACACACTCACTACCTCACCACTGCAACTGTGTCACTGTGTCTCTGTTAGCCAGCATCTGACTGCAGGGATGAAGGGCCTCATACTCCACTCACAGTGAAACAAAATGAAAGAAAAAAAGCAGTGGCGACTGTAGTCATTTAAACATATTTTAGGGAAATGGTTGTAACTGCCAAGTGCAGTTAAAGTACAAACACTACATGCCAACTGACTGTCATCACAAATGTGGTGCATGTTTAGAGAGACTGAGAGTGAAAAAGAGAAGAAGAGAGCAAGAGAAACCATCTCCAACTGTCTGAATCTGTTGTGTTGATAGAAGTTTATTGAAAAGCTGAATATGAAAGCTGAAATGTCTCTTTGACACAGACAGGGATAGAGGGAAAAATAAAGCGAGAATAAGGTCAGCTTAAAAAAATATTGTGAATAATTGTCACTGTAAAACGTAGAGATTCAAAAAGGCTTTTGACTCAGTTTATCCACTGAGATTAATAACAACATGCCACTGCTACAATTCAGACTGACCCAGTTAGAACATTTATAAATGAAAATTGCTGTGTCCTTAAAATATGTGCAGATATATTGACAGTCATGTGAAAAATAAGCATTTCACAAGATTCTATGCAATTCTTGAAGAACTAAGTACACCCCATTATTAAGTAGCGTGCATAATGACCTTTGGCAGCGTTAACCTGAAGTAATTCTTTAAGACTTTTGTGGAGGAAATTTGGCCCTCTTCTTTACAACTTTATGGGCATTCATTTATCCGCAGCTTTCTTAAGGTCCTGCCAAAGGATTTAAAACCTTGTTGGGGTCTGGACTTTAACTGTACAACTGCAACACCTTGATTCTTTTCTTTTTTAACCACTCTGTTGCAGATTTCCTGCTATGCTTGGGATCTTTACCCTGTTGCATCACCCATTTTGACCTGACCTCCAGGTCAGGAAAGTGCCAGCAATTCAGATTAATTAATTTAATTAGTAGCCCCTAACAGCTGGTACTGTACTTACTTTGTACCCACACTTTCTTTCAAAACTTTCTTTTTCAAGTGGCCATATTGATTGGCCTTTTACAAAAGCAACCTGTAACTGAATGTCTAAGTTATGCTGTGGCACCAAAAAAGCACACATTGATCTTCATATATAGTAAAAGGAAATTGTTGCTGCTGAAGATGTTCATGTCGCCCATTCTCGTATTCCATGTTGTATTAAAGATGTCACAGGATAAACAGAGCTGGAAATGGGCTCTTAAGAGCTTCTCTTACATACATGCTATACAGCATATATCATGTTTATGCCACCAGCCCATTGGGTTTAAAATCATTCTGTCTGACCAAGTTTGGTTTAAATTTAGGTGAGATAACGGTTGACCCTGAACAGTAAAACAGATGTTAAACATGATGAAACGTGGCCAGTGACCTAAAGAGGTTTAAGGGAGGCGGGTTCAGAGCGACTAAGGGTCAAACCTTGACTAATTGCTAAAAGAGGCAGACTGGGCCGCTAAATGAAAAGCTGGCGAGAGTAATTATCGTAACGTTATCATTAAAATATATGACTGCAGCCCTTTGGGCCTTTTTCAGTGGAAAAGAATTTGTGAACTTTTGAGGTTTTAGCAAACAATATTTCATTATTGGGTCACGTTTAAATATTTTTTCACAAAAAAGTTGGGAAGAGACCCTCTTTTTTCAAGATTGTTTGGCCTGAGAATGATTTTTTTGAGGGTTTTCCACATGGCTTGAGTGTAGACAACATGGGTGCAACAGTAGATTAGTGCAGCCTAGGTAACAGGTTGTGCTGTAAAGCTAATCAAACTCTCTATTTTGCCTCTAGTCAGGTTTGATCCAAACACAGGATGCAGAATATTTCTTGAGACCCGTGTCACACGGCTTGGCGCAGATGGAGAACTTCACAGCGTCCTTCGGTCATCAGCCACACATCCTCTATAAGAGAGAAAGGGATTCCCAAACACAGCGGCAACATGTGCTTCAAAAGAGATCCGCTGACAACACAGTGTTTGAACATCAATACAAGGGACTGCAAAAACAGCATGACAACAATAACAGCAACACTCAAGCTGACCTGATAAAACATCATGGAAGTGTCCAACAGCACAATGACCATCGCCATGACAGCGACTACAGACATGGGGAGAAGCAGAAGCAACACTTCTGTGGGAGAAGGAAGAAATGTATGTAAGGGCAATTTCTCCTTCTAATGCTAATGTAACATTGTAGTATTCCTCTTAAGATTTACATACATTATTGATTCCTGCACCTTCCTATTTGCTTGTTATAATACTTTTAAACCTCTAATAATTCGGTTTACATAGTGTTTATTACAATCAATTTCACCTTAACCTGGAAACTTGCAAAAGAAATTGCAAGCACTGCTAACCTAACAATGTCTCTTGACTATAGGGGTCATAGATCATTATGTGTCAACTAGCCAAATCTCACTGGTATTTGGGTTTTCACAGTCAAACAGAAAGTAACAGCACCACTAAACTTTCATTTTAAGTGCTTAATCTGGCCGGCTAGGTAAAGTTTTTAACAATGAGGTGGCTATCTTATTGCCAACTAAAGTCAGCCTCATAAATCCTCTTCTTCATGGATGGCTAGGCACTGCTAGATTGTAATAGATAGAGTAACAGCTGTACCAAACAAACTACTGAAGGGGTTTTTTGTTTGGTTCGGGTTATTTTTAACTCTCCTTTGTTGCTTTGTCTTTGTTTTTTTGGCAAGAAGAAGAATTTGGACTGGAAATATCAAGAATTTGAATTGGTAATTCAAGATTCTGCTTTTAAAGCAATTACCAAGATTGATAATTGCTTTAAAAGCAGTATTAAATAACGAAGAATGCAAAGAACATTTAGATTAGTAAAATGGGAAAAAATACTATACAAAACTTTTCTGGATTGGTGACATCCTAAGTGTTTAAGAACCAAACAATGTTATTTTATTTTGAGGTCAGCCTTACTCACATATTCTCCGATTTAGGGTGGATTTGATATTGGATCACTTTTTACTAATTTAATTATAAAAAAAAAGCCATGAAGTCATTTTTGCACTTAACACTTACTAAATAACCTTCTTACCCTTCGATAATATTACATGTGTTTACATTTGTGGTTTACTCTGTTTGTAACAGCTTCACGAGGGTGGCTGGTGGAAGCATCAAATTGCTATTTAATGATGGTAATATCATCATATTTGTGCAGCAAACATTCACAAATACTTGTGAAATTTGGACAGCAGCAGCAGCTGTGTCTCATTTTAAATTGTAACACCAGATTAAAGGCAACACATTCTATGTTGACTTGGGTTTCACATATTGTTAAGACATTAGCCCCTTTTTATGTAAAGGAGACAATCAGCAGTGTGTTGTCACTTACACAACATGGGGATTGTAAATGTTGTAAAGCAGATTGTCTTAGCCTGAAAATCTTTAAACACAATAACACTCATTCATGATTAGGTGATTCCTCGAACAATCATCATTTTCATGTAATTATTTAGACATTTGTGGTTGATTTTATGAGTAAAGGTTAATTCTTATAACTTCTGTTTACTTTGCACTATGACAAATGTTTGCTCTCAAGAAATTACCACAAGATCCGTTAACATTGCTTGCATCACGGGGGTCTTTCAAACGAGAGCAGCTGTATGTCCCTATGAAAACACAATGATGTTTGCATTTTTATAAGATGATATCACCGAACACCTGCGTTGTGTGTTCGTCGAAGGGCACTTTGGTCATTCACCTGCTTTCCGCCTGTATAAGCAAACTTTCTAGCCTTTATAGATTATCTAAGCCAGCGATGAGCAGGTCAAAATTTTGATAACCTATCAAAACACTGAAAATAAGACTTAAGAAGATAACGTTACAAGATACTATGGTTGCATGCTGTGCTTTTGCACTAACAGGTGTTCTACTTTATGTCATAGTTCAAATCTGAATGTTTGAAGGTGCTTTTACTCCCAGATTCACATAGCAAGCTTCAATTCATCAAAAGTTACAAAATCTTTTTCATAATACAGCCTTTCAATAGTACTAAATAAACAAATAAACAAAAAAAACATCACTTTGGGACAAAAATACACTATATTTATGTTACATGTCTATAGAATATGAAACAGCTCTGGAAGCACATACATTTCAGATGAATGTGTGTGCTTTCAACATGTAAATATTTCATATTGTTTTAAATATTGTTACTTTATGTAACTGTAGCTACTGCAAGGCAGAACACATACTAGGATTTCACACTTAATGGTAGCATAACATTGAGACTGCCAGAGTCAACAACAGTAAAAAAAAAAAAAAAAAGCACAGTTGGCAGTTTATCCATGACATCAGGTCACAAAAGTAAGAGCACGGTTAATCATCCAGAGCTGTTGCCAGCTATTTGCCAGAATCGCTGGTTAGCACACATAAGCAAAGGTAAACATTTGGCCAGTGGCTACAAATGTATTTCAAATCACTTGCAAATGTAATCAGCAATGGAAAGGAAGGCTTGCATTTGTCATGGACATTATGGCTGCAATTAAGGCGCTATTATATGCGCTATTGTTTGGGCTTTCATCAGTCACTCGGAAGCTTCCATACAGTAGTTCATCATGTTAACTGTGCAGCCATAGATCACTGAGTAATGCTCCGTTCAGGTTGTTCAGCTGTTACTACATCATTTTGCTTCAGACCAGTTTATTACTTAATGAATTCTTACTCTATATCTTTTTCCATCTGTTTTCACAGACATGCCGAAACCTCCAGAAGAGGATATTTTTATCCTTCCAGATGAATACAAGTTTATCCCCAGGAATAAAAGGGCAGTGCTGATGAAGAACAAGGCCAACAAGGGACTCAATGTGGAGACACTTGTGGTGGTGGACAGAAAGATGATGGACAACCATGGCCATGAGAACATAACTACATATGTTCTTACTGTGCTTAACATGGTGAGACAAATTTAGTCTTTACCACTGTGTTTGATGTGCACTCTGCCTATAGGCTAGCATGGGCGCAGCACAGATTCAAGACAGGAGTTACATAAATCAACCTTAAGGCTGACTCGTTTTTTTAAGAATACCAAATATGATGTCTTGTAACTTTATGGGAAAGTTGTCTTGTATTTTTACAAGTGGCTTTAACAGCAGAACCACAAAGCCTGGTGTAACTTTGCAGTCACATCATCAAATGAAGTTTTAGGATGCTGTGCTTTTTTTGCTATTATACACCATAACATCAGCTGATGAAAGAGGAAGCCATGCAATTTATTTGAAGTAAGGATTTAGTTACTTGACAATCCTGTCTGCTAGACTAACTTATCAGAGATCTTAAAACAGGAAACTGATATCTGGGTGAGATCATCTCCACAACGCTTGCAGTGTCCCCCTCCATTCCTCTCAGCTTATCTGTAAGCGAATACCGTCACACTTGTTTTGCTACTTAATGACTGACTGACAAATCCAAAGATAATCCATCTATTTTGAAAACATAGTTCCCTGTAGTAAAAACAAAGTCAGAGCAGTCACCGGCCTCATAGGAGTCACCTAAATACTATATGAGGTTTCACAGAAAATACCCAACGCTTCACACCACCTGCCAGCCCTCATGGGGCTTACAAAAGTCATTTAATATTTGTTGGAAAGGAAATCTAATAAGCTCTTTAGCTTTGTATAGAATTATGCTTTCACAGTGACAGTGGAAAGACAAAAAAAATCAAAGTTACTTATTTAAAAAAACATGCAGTGCACTATGCATCACAAAACACTACAGATCTGTGGAAACAGGTGTGATACATTATTCCTATATGTAAAAACATATAGGGATTCATTGCTCTAATCAATTCAGAAATCTGACAGCCTGCCAAACACTCAGCTTTCAGCATAGCTTAGTTTAAGTGAGCTCTTTGATGACCTCCCTGACCTTTCTGCAACAAACCACGGCCATGTGTCTTCCTGTGAGTCAGCGCAAAGCAGGACGAAAAGAGGGAAATGAATGAGTTTTCCTAAAGATGTATTTGCGAGGTCTTAGAGAAAGGCATACAGCGAACCCTCATAGTCATATTATGGGAGTGGTGCATAAATATAAGTTAAGGACATTTTAACACATCAGCCTAGATTGTACTAATCAGATCCTCTTCAAGTACCAGTAACAGTTTTTAATGACAGATCCTGCATTTGTATAAACAGGCGAGTACTTCAGATGTCACTTTGATGGTCACGTTCAAGCCACTTTAAACTTTGTAAAATTACTCATGCACATGTAGTTTATGTCTCAAATTACATGAGTTTGAAACATTACTTGAGATGGATTAGACAAATGCCAGATGCGCTAATAATACGTCATAATGATTGTCTGTTTGCCTTTTAGGTCTCAAGTCTGTTCAAAGATGGCACAATAGGGGGAAATATCAACATAGTGATTGTGGGTCTCGTCCTCCTGGATGAAGAACAGGTGAGCGTGTCAGTTTTTAGTCAGAATCATCATTCACCCAGACAACTCAACCCTATACACTAACAATATTTTACCATGTTCTTTAGCTGTACATACCAAAGGGCAAAAAAAATGCAAAAAAGGATCATTTGTATGTTTATTTGTTTGTTTTGCCTGAGGTTTCAGATCTTTTTGGTCCTTCCAAAATCTTCCTGGGGCTGTTGTAACAACTAGGGGCTTTTACAGTTTAAATAGAGCATGTATTTCCCTGGATCTGTGCCACAGGGGAAATTCTCATGGAGTCTAGGAGTAAATGAGCGACACAGACAGAGAGAGACAAACTGTTGGGGTACAGTTGGGAAAAGTAAAGCAGCTTGAGAACAATGGCTTAGACTTTCCAGCCACTTCATAGATTTTAAAATTAAGTATTTATAAGCAGGAGGAATGGTGAAAATACAAAAATGTTCTCAGACGTTTTCCTTTGTACACAAAAGAAAATCTGTAAGCCTTTATGTTGTTATCAATATGCATGCTATATGTCTAAAGGATCTTGGTTATTGATTATAAAGACCCAGAGAGAATCTGTAAGTTGGCAGTAAATATATGGATAATAATGCTTTACCTCAATGAAGTTAATACTGTCATCATATCTTTTTATGTGTTTTATGTCACAGAATGGCTTAGTAATCAACCACCATGCAGACCACACACTGAACAGCTTTTGCCACTGGCAGTCCACCCTGGGAGGTAGAGAGGGCCGGCACCATGACCACGCCATCCTCCTCACGGGACTCGACATCTGCTCTTGGAAGAATGAACCCTGTGATACTCTTGGTATGACTTTAAAAACCTCTTTGTTGCTCTATTGCTTGTAAATCGCAAAAGAGCAGATTCTGCAACAACCAAATGCCAGAAGGCCTCATTTGAGGCAATAAACAATCCTGTCAATACACCGATCCATCATATTTGCTCAGCGTACCTTAACCTGGAAAGCAAAATCTATCATCTTCTTTATTTTTATGTTTAGTTTTTAACTTTATGTTGAATCCAGATTTATTATAAATGTATTACCAGTTATCAGTATCCGATCAAAAAACAATAACAACAATTTTAGGCTGTTTGGGGTACTTTGTATTTCTGGTGATTTGGTACCATGTTTTCATTACTGATCAAATATTGTTGGTAAGGTACGCTGCCATTGTTTCTGTCTAGTTTTAGACTTTTCACAGCTTTAATTAGGGACTTTACAAGAAACAAATAATTGCAAAATCCTCTTAAATTAATAAATAAATACTGTTATACAGGCACAAGTGATTTTGCCGCCTAGCTCCAATAATAGCCATAGCTGCTAGCTGCTACCTTAATGATCATTAAGAGACAGCTAATGCGGCTATAAGTTAATTGTGTGTGCTGGCCAGGCTGACATTTGTGCTACCTGTTTAGAGCTTAATTATTGTTGAAAAAGGGGGCTTTACTCACCTCTTGAAATTGTTCATAAAGTGTTGTTCACTGCTGTGATGGACATCTTCAGCTATGGCGTTATTTTTATGCCACTATTCTGAGCGCACGTAAAAAAAATTGCAGGTGCAAGTGTTGCATTTTGAGGAGAAATTTATTTTGAGCGAAGAAAAACTAAATTTGAGTGAACAAAAATCATGCAAATATGTGATGTCTTGATAAATCGAGCAGATATTTGAAGTTCACACAGCACCATTCTCGCATGAAAATATCTTAAAAGTTTATTTTGTGACCCAGAGTAATATTTCAAACGCCGCCACTCTGTGTTCCTCCGCCACTGCCTTGTTTGAGTTCTGGACGAAATGGATTCTGGGATATTGCATTTCGTCATTTCGAGCTGATTGGAGACCAAAACAGCCAGTCAGATTTTTTTGCATCCAAGTCTGTGATTGGCTGGTTTTGTGGCACAAATATAACGGTGTAGAGAAAGAGTTGAGTGCGCACGGGTAGAAATGTTGAGAGCGCAGCAACACATTGCGAGCAAGCGCAAATGCAAAAACTGAGCGAGAGGGGCTGCTATTGTGTGTGTGTGTGTATGGATAATAACAAACACTGAAATACATTTTTTGCACGCAGCAATGAATTTTGTTCACTCAAATTTAGCTTTTCTTCGCTCAAAATAAATTTCTCCTCAAAATGCAACACTTGCACCTGCATTTTTTTTTACGTGCGCTCAGAATAGTGGCACAAAAATGACGCCATATTCAGCTGCTAGTAAAGCAGCAACATGCCTTCAGCATGTTGTGTGTTAGCTAGGTGAAACAAAGATAACACTGTTGATATCAGTGCTATATCATGTCACAGTTTATCTGATGCAATAGTAATTAGGTATTTAGTGATAATTAGTATCCGAATATTTATTTTTTTTACTTTTTTTTTTTTTTTTTAGCCAACCGTATTTAACAGAGATAACAGAAAAACCAGATAGAAATTCAGAAAGTGGACACATTATCAGGTTTTCATTTAGTTTAGAGTGCTTAGTGTTTTTCTACATAGACTAAGCTCAGCTGGCTTGAGCATTCAGACACACGCTGTCTCTGTGAGTGTGCATCACCTAGCGCAATAACAGAAGCTTATTTGGGGTAATGACCGTGCAAACACATTCTTATCTTCCACACTGTGAGAAAAAAACTCCCCTTTTTTGCACCAGAAAAACACAAGAGTGTAACTTCCCCAGACCTAAGATTTTACAATAAAGTGTCGAAACCAGCACTAGCCTCATCCATACAGCTGTGCGAGCTTAGATAAAAGGTGTGTGTGTATGTTTGTGTGTCTGTCCAGTCAAAATAAGAATCAGTGCTTTCTAATTCCCAGAAGTACAATGTAAAATAGGCATTAGCACAACCATTCACTGTTTATTTGGATTACTATTAGAGCCCTATTCTTCAATGTTTTTATTCATATTTCAAAACTGTCATATAATATCAATGACCTACCTCTTTCCTAACACAAAAAAGAAATAAATGGTAGTTCTCACAGTTAATCTCCCTTGTTATATTTAATATCATTGCTCACATTAGTTATATACATGAGCCACTCTGTGGCAAAGACTTAGAGATGTAAATCAAACAACATTTAAGGCCAAATTCGCCATGAAACTCTAAGGAAAAAACGTTAAGGGAGGCTCTCGTGTGGATTAGCCTTTTTGATTCAGAGCCAGAGGTTGCTGTAAATGTGAGAGACGGGAGGAGAGAGGACAGCGAGAGGCATAAAGGGAGCTGAATACTATAAAAGAGTTTAACTGAGAATGAGAGATATGAGAAATATGTGAAGATAGGGAAAGAATGTTTTAAAGTGAAGTAAAAGGTAGCATATGTGACTATATAGAGAACCATATGTTATCATATGGAAGGATTTGAATTCACTGATGTTGTTTGATATTTCCGACATGTGCCCTCCACAAATTCACACCAGTGCGTATCGTTTGAGAAATTTCTCTTGCAATGTAGAGTTAAAAAGCTGAGAAGAAGCAACTTGACAGCAGTTATTTTAACTAACCAATTACAGTTATTTTTGGAATGGCTTTTTTAAACTAATAAATAATAAAACTTGTATTAAAGATTGCAAAAACAAAAATCTATCACTGCTTTTGCAGGGTTTGCGCCAATTAGCGGGATGTGTAGCAAATACCGCAGCTGTACCATTAATGAGGACACTGGCCTGGGTTTGGCATTCACCATCGCCCATGAATCAGGACACAAGTAAGGGTTTCCAAAGTACATTCAGCCTCGTTCAACCTTGTTCGACAATGAAATGAAAAATGTACCAAAATTTGTTTTAATTCATGTAAAAATAAATAATCTATTAGAATGACAACTTCTGCATTTGTTACTTGTGAAGTAGATGATTATGTCACCTGAATCTGTAGATAAAAATCTCTTTTTTTAACTCTCCAGTTTTGGAATGGTCCATGATGGTGAAGGGAATGTTTGTAAAAAGTCAGAAGGCAACATCATGTCTCCCACATTAGCTGGTCACAACGGTGTCTTCTCCTGGTCTGCTTGCAGCCGTCAGTACCTCAGCCGCTTCCTCAAGTAAGCAGTTGGGTTTTTTTAATTTACTTTCATTGTGTTGACTAAAAGAAATTAAACTAGTGTTTTTAAGAATTTTCATGTCTGCCTTTTTGTTAGAGTTCACACAACAAACACAACAACTACATTTTTCAAACTGGCCACTTAATTAATTCATGCATTCATTGTGTTTTTTATTTTTAATGTGTCAAGTGAAAAATTGTACTTTACCTATATAAAACCTGTAAAAGATTTTATATTTCAAAAGCAATTTTAAAGCTTTGAATGAACAAGAGGCTACATGCAATTAAGTAAAGAATGTAGTTACCATAGCAGCTAATTTAAGTGAAATATGGTCCTACATTTCTCTTAGTGCTCTTTTACAAAATGCACTTTTATTGTGCATCAAGATGCATGCTTGTAAAAGCCGTAAGTTTGCATGGCAGTTGGTTTGTGCACTGTTCTGCTTATAGCCTGCTCTCCCAAGCGGGAAAACAGCCATCACAGACAACGCGCCCATGTGTCTGGACATGTTTCTATTTGTCTGTGGATGTAGGTGTGTGTGTCTGTGTGCGTGTATACTTGAAACTAGATAGCTCAGAGTCAGTGCCCACCACTAAATTTACCCGTGTGTTAGCTGAACTGTCAGGTCTCCCCTCTCAGAGTGGCGGAGACAGACAGTGTATTTCCTCGCTGAGTTATTAGAGCTGGGATGACCTCAACCTCGTTAGAGCTGTCAGTTTTATATTAAACTCCCATCACCTCTTGAGGTCACATGGAGGAGAGCGCTGAAACATTAAACCATCAAGGAGTCGTCATCTTGCATTATTACTGAATGATATTATTGCTGAAATGTTGTATGTTTTCCTAGCTGCAATCATGAGACTCCACAGTGTCTCCTTCATCTGCTATGGAGAGAAGCGTTATGTCAGCCAGCAGAGTTTATATTACACTCACTCTAGATCTACTTCTCTTCAGTCAGCCATGACAGACAGGCCGGACTGTACGCATGGTCAGATGCTTTATCCCTCCATGCCTAACATGGATGGATAATCTTCACGTCAGTGAAAGCAAATTCCTTAAAAGCCAGTTGAAGTTGTTTTTGAAGCTGGTGAAACCAACCAGAAAGCTTCAAGATCCCCTTCTCTCTCAGACTCCTCTGAGAAATGTGCTTATTTAGCTCCTTGCTGAGAGTTTAAGGAAGGAGTGAAGCATTTGTAGCAACTGATTAGGCAGAGAAATCAAGCTGGAAAGGATGTGTAGCAGGTCTAAAGAGTACTTTGAGGAGCTGAGGAGTGAAGAAAATGAGAGGGCAGGAATGGATGGATGGAGCACAGGTAGTGAAGTGCAGTAGGGACTAAGTGAGGGAAGCTATGAAGAGGATGAAGAGCACAAGGAGAGGTAGTCCAAATGGCATACCTGTTGAGGTATAGAGATGTTTAGGAGAAAGGGCTGTGGAGTTTTTAACCACATTGTTTAGCACAAGCCTGGGGAGTGAGAGGATGTGTAAGGAATCGAGAAGAAGTGTACTGTGCCAGTTTGCAGGAACAAGGGTGATGTGCAAAGCTGTAGTAGGTCCAGTGGGATAAAGCTGATAAGGCATACCATGAAGCTCTAGGAAAGAGTTGTTGAAGCTAGGCTGAGAAGAGAGGTGATGATTAGTGAGCAGCAGCATGGCAGAGAAGTGCACTACAGATGTGATGTTTGCTTTGAGAGTGTTGATGGAAAAGTTGAGTTGCACTGTCTTTGTAGATCTAGAGAAACCATATGATACAATGCCAAGAGAGGAGTTGTGGTATTATATGAGGATGTTGGGAGTAGCAGTGAAGTATGTGAGGGTGATGCAGGACATGTACTGAAGGTGGACGAGTCAGCCATCTAAAGCATCGGACAGTGCACAAGAGAGGTAAAGAAGAGAGTGCAGGCAGGGTGTAGTGGCTGGAGTATCAGGGGTGATTTTCGACAGAAGGATAATAGCAAAAGTGTAAGGACAAGTTTATAAGACGGTAGTGAGACCTGCTATGATGTCTGGTTTGGAGACAGTAGCACAAAAAAAGACGAGAAGCCAACCAGAAGTGGTAGAGTTGAACATGCTAATATTTTCACTAGGAGTGACGAGGATGGACCAGATTAGAAATGAGTATATTAGATGGACTGCTCAGGATTTGCAGTTTGGAAAGAAAGTTTTAGAGTGGAAGGCTGAAATGGTTTGGGCATGTGCAAAGAAGAGAAACTTGGTACATTAAACAGGCGGAGCTGAATATGGACTTGCCATGCAGGAGGGAAAGAGGAAGAGCACAGGAAAGATTTCTGGGCAAAGAGAGGACATGGAGAGGAGACAGAGGACAGAGGAGGATACTAAAGATAGGGTGAGATGCAAGCCACTGCAGCAACCCCTAATGGGAGCAGCTGAATGAAGAAGAAGCTCGATCAGAGTTGCAGAAAAAGTCTCTACATGGTTTGCAGATTGTGACCATTTCTAGTTAGCTTATCTTAATTTAGCATAGCATATCTCAGCCTAAAAACTAGGACAGGGAAACTGCTTGCTAAAGTAATAAAACCAATCATTTCCATCTGTAAAACAGATATACTACATTATATCTTGTCAGTCATAATAATCAAATGACAAACAGCATGCAAAATGTTTCCGTTTTAGAAATGCAGTTAGACAGACTTTGTTACTTACGGACTTAATTTAAAATTAAGCTAATAGGAAGTTTGCAAGCAGCGAACATACTGTAAACATAAAATGTGTTTACAGTATGTTTGTTGGACGCTGGTTTGTTTGATATGTTTGGCTGACACTCTGATTTCAGCAATGCTAATCAAAAAGTCTTGCAGATAAATGTTCTTCAGCTATGAGTCTGCTTGTGACCTTTTTTGATTTTTTTTTTCAGCAGTTTGCTGTCTGTGTTTTATGTGACCACAAACAAATAGATAGATATAAATAGCCCTCGGTCTGGATGGGGTGAGCCTGTAGATCCTGAGGGAATCATAGAAAAGAAAGGATGCTTTTTTATCTTTAGCTGATGAGAATCTTGTGTACATTTTTTAGGGGGGGGGGGGGGTTAAATTTTGTCTTAAGCCTCTTGCCCTCAAGAGATCCTGCAAATTATTTTGTAATTTTACTTGTGAATTACATTAAGTCCTCCCAATCTTTACTTGAGTCCTTGCTGATATGTGTGATTACACAGTACTGTAAATGTAATGTATTTTTCAGAAACCATATTATGTGAATAATGTAGAATACCAGAATATTGCACTTGTAGAACAGACATTGTTCTCTTTAGACACACAGGGCCCATAAAGCAATGGAAGATCTCACATATACACACACAGACACTCACACACTCTGCTAAAGCAATCAGGACCACTCACTAACACAATGAACCATTCCAGCATATTTTGCCTTTTCATGCTCTTTCCACCATATTCTTGTATTATATTCCCCGACTGCAGCGTTTAAGCTGTAAAACATCGCTGTATAGTAACCAGTGATATCAGTTAACATTGGAAACCCCCTGCTGGTGTTAGGATATGAGCGATATGGGCAAGGACTTTTTATGTCTGTCATAATTGAGTGTCTGATGCATTAAAACATTACCCACAGGTTTTGAGTTTGCCAACTTGTTATGTTACCATAGCTACACTTTACAGTTGTCACTGTGCTGGGAACAATGGAACACGTGGAGTGATGCTCGCTTTTGGAATTTCTATGTGCACAGCAGGCAGTCTCATATGCCAGCTACTTAACTCTTTTTTGTGCTTTTCCTTTGCTATCTCCCTATCAAATTCCCCAGTTCTGCCCAGGCTTTGTGCCTATCAGATGAACCAAGAGCAATCACAGAGTATCAATACCCTGAGAAGCTGCCTGGCGAGCTGTACGATGCAGACACACAATGCAAATGGCAGTTTGGGGAGAAGGCCAAACTCTGCACCCTTGATTTTAAGAAGGTAATAAAACTGATTTGGACTCTCTTATGCCATCTAATGCTAATTTAAAAACAGGTTTATAATCCCAGTCAGGGATTTTATCACCACATCTACTGGAACGTGAGCATTTGATACGTTTTTTTAACAATCATGTGTTGCTAGTTAGGGGGAAAAAAAGTCAAAGAATGCAAGAGTGGGATGGGATGAATGAGGTAGAGGAAAAATCAAATAAAAAGAGGAAGGAAAAGAGAAACTGATCCGGGTTACATGCCCTTGTGCATGTACACACATATGCATCCACACACAAAGACTGAGACTCGAAGACTGCCCATGATATACTGTACTCACTGGGATAGATGACTAAATATACACTGGAGCATTGCCAGTGGGAATCTCTGCTCGTTGCTCTCCCATTGTCTCATTGCTGCTGATCTTACTGTTAGAAATACTCTCCCAGATAATCCGAATAGGGCTTTAAATACTTGTTAAATGTAATCAGTCTTAAAATATAGTATCCCACCTGAACCTCAGTTGAGCCAAAGCTGCACCTGTATTGTTTGAACCATTCAGGCAAGGGTGTTCTCAGTGTTTAGATGAAATACAAAGCTCTCTGAAGAAACAAACAAGGTTAAACCATCCATCTACCCCACAGACCCTTAGCAGCCAATAGTTCATTTTTGTCACAGACCCTCTAACAGATTATTGTGACCTTTTTTGTATACTACAATGGCGCACATATTTGCAACACCATAGCATTTAGTCACACACAGGATAAAGGTTTCTATTTTTTGCAGTCAAGTGGACCAGTATAAAAATCTGATAATGTATGTACTGCAATTTTGTGCTTTGTATTCATTTATTTTAACATTTTATTTTAACCTGTCTTGTTCCTTTATCATTTTCTGTGTAGCAAATTTTCTTCATCTGGAAGATATCATTACCAAAAATGATCAACGATAAAGCAAGATGGATATTTAATGCTTTGTAATAAAGTTACTGCAGTATGTATCAAATATGTTATGTCTGCAGTATGGGACTTGAAGCAAGTGACTTTTTTAATTTATGCTCTAAGAAATGCCAGTGCCAGTAGTAGCTGGCTTTGAATCCTAGGTCTTCTGCACATGCTGTCCTTCTTTGTGTGCTTATATAAACGTCTGAATATCCGTGGATTATTACATTTATAACATACGCTTGTGCACCTGGTAGCAGCAAGGTGCTCTGGACTGATAAATCTCCAAGCAGCCATTACACTCACTGTCTTTCTGAGCACTTGTTACTCATAAAAAATAAAACAGCCTACAAGAATCGGCCTCAGCGGCGCAGTTCATGGTGTAATGAATTCTTTTTTCACTAAACTTTTTGGCAGCTGTTGTCAAGATAAGGTACCACTGGAGGGAACAAATGATACTCTCTGCGGTTAGATAGGGATGGGCTATTCTATAGGAAAATTTGATTAATGTTAATGGGCGTTTTTCTTTCTTTCTCAGCCTCTGACACACTGTCCATCATTTCTCTCTGTCTCTCCTCCCATCGCTAACCGCTCTCTGCCATTATTTTACTGCTACAAACGGCCCGAGCAAGCGAAACAGATGGACAAATAGTCCTTGGGATGAATTCCATGGTGGCTTTTGGCAGCAGCAAGCTGAGGCTGAGGTGTCTGTCAGCATCTGCACTGAGTTGTCAAAATCTGATATAGTCATTCAAATAGCAACAGAGTAGACATGTTAAAAAGCAGCAGGCTGTGTTTCTCAGGCAATGCGAGCAGGGAAACAGGCCGGTGCTCCCAGCTGAATCTTTAATGACTGAGTAACACAGCCATTACATCATGTAAGTTTGGTAAAGCAGTTGTGTCCTGTTAATACTTTGTCCTAATCTTCATGTTCTGTGTTACTTCTTCACTTTGGTGTTTCACTTCCTCAAAGCTGAAGATCGCTACGTCGATCCGCAACAGAGATGATGTTGGAACCACTTAGACCAGATTTTATGTATCGATGCTGATGTCTTTACCGTAGCTACTGAAGCATAAATATTTTGGAGATTCACATTTGCTGCACACGGGAAGCTCTCCAGAAAATAATTATTCAGACAGTTGCAGATTCAGCAAGATTCCTTCAACATGTTTTATTAGCTCTCAAGAGGCAAAATCAAAATGCTATTACAAGTGATCATTTTTCCCCACTGCAAGCTTTGTTTACAGCTATTGTGAGGAGGATCGTGATGATCCAGTTTCTGGAATCTGGAGCAAGAAGTAAGTTAAGGTTTCCATGTTTCTCTCTCTTATGTTGTTCCAGGATATCTGCAAGGCTCTGTGGTGCCACCGTGTTGGGAGGAAGTGTGAGACCAAATTCATGCCAGCTGCTGAGGGCTCTGCTTGCGGCCCCGATATGGTGACTTAACACATGATGTAGTGCGTGTGTGCGCATGTGTGGGTATGGCGATGTGTTTGGTTAAAGGGGTTGACACTCACAGGCTTTTTTACCTCAAGAGTGGCATCACATGAGTGGCATGGGAGCCGCTGACTTCTATTGGAATCTTTTATCCATTTCCTTAGAGGCATTTGAAGTGGAAGACAGTTCCAACCGCTTGCAGAAAAATGAAGATACCTTCTTCAAAATGTCATTTGTACACTGGAAAAAACGTCCACAATCTATTCAGGGCATAGAGTTAGCTTTTAGTCATATCACCAATAAGATAACCTTTGTTCCTTGATAGCCAAAGGAGCCAAAATGTTCCTCCAATTGATATGGCATTTAGCAAACATTGCCTTTTTTCTTTAGGACAGCCTAAACAAGAGCCCCACACACATTTCCTCTCAGTTTTGGTGAGAAAAATACCATCCAACAGAGTAACACAACTCAGTAAGAGAGTTTTACTCTGTTATGTGTGCTAACTTAAGAAAAGTGGATTTAAACATGTCTATTGAAAAATGACTTCACTCTCAGGGCAAATTCTCCTTCCTGCATATCAGTTGCCCTAGCAGTGTTTTGGCAGTGTGCTTCTTTACATTACCAAGCGTGTAAAAGTATAAGCGGGGGAAAGCTTGTAAAAATGGGAAACACATTCTTTGACTTAGGGATACCACAGACCTTTAAGTCAGTAAGCTGCAAAGGACAATAAGCCATAGCTATGAATACACTGAAAAGGCAACAATGATGTGCATAGCCTTATAAAAGTAACATTTATTGAGTGTTTTAGTGTAATGTAGTGTTAAGTCCAGCTATTTGAAAGCAAATGGCTTGAACTGAGTGATACTACACTTCTTTTAACTGCTTTTTGCTTACATAGCAATGGCCTCATATCCCAGCACAGACTATTTAAGTTATTTTCAAGCCAAATCAGCAACTTTACTTTGATTTAGTACATTTGAGGGTAGTGTAAATGAAAACTCCTTTTTTTTTCTTTTGCTCTAGGTACCACTCTGTCCTTCCTTCTTTTACCTCAGGGAGCAGCTGCAGTTCGTTTGTTGCTGATGTGGCAGAAATATGCAATTGGCTTGGATCCAAAAAGCAATCTGCGCTCTTTATTTATTCTTTGTTTTCTTTTTCATTCTTCTTTTCAAGATGATTCCCCCCCGAGGCTTGCTCTTTCTCTTACCCTCACTCCCCTGACAGCTTCTCATCAACGTTTGCATCTCAATATATTAAACTTGATGGTTTAATCTCGCGCTCCCCCTCCACGGGAAAATTAACCAAGCACAAACACTGACTGTCTCACATAGGAATCTGCGGCACTCAGCCGCAGGGGGAAAACTGAGGGGAAATCAGCTGTTCTAGTTCTTAGTCAAGGACCATGAGATTAGTTGGTGAGGTGTGCATGAGTCTGCATATGCTGGCGTGTGGGTCTGTGGTCTCTTGTGTAGTTATTGTTTACATAGTGAGAACAAGAACAGCTGCATATGTTCGATGTATGGACATAGCACAGCTTATGCAATACCAGTGTGTGTGGAATTCTGGGAGAAGAAGTACACTGAAGCTGATTAATGATTCGGCCTTTGATGTATGTACTCGATTGTGGCTTTGAGTTTTCCCTGTACGATCACCATCATTGCATGCAGTCCAAAGAAGTGCAGAAACATATTTAAAGATTTTTTTTTTTTTTTATCCACTATCGTGTAATCTTCGGTTTTGCCTGCTGCCTTAAGGGACACATTTGGCAGTGTTCACTGCTCGAAAGCTGCTTGGTCAGAAGCAGCTAGTAACACTATATGCACATGGCTTTTCAGTCCACCAGAGATCAGAATGAAAGAGAAATTGGTCTTTGAAAATTGAAAGAGCATGAGATGACCTTGAAAAGGTTTTACTGGTAGACTGTGAACATGTAACCAGGACTGGGCCACAGTTAAAAAAAAACACAAAACAAAACAGTACAGTAAGCACAGTAAGTCATGTCTTGACGTGGCAGAGGTGAACATAATAAGGCACATTTGCAGTGCAATCAAATTAAGTATTAAACAGATTTTAACCTCACTGCTCTTCTCTGCAAAATCTCTCAGTCCCACAGACTTGCACGGATGTTAGAATAGCACTTGCCAGTGAGTTTGCAGCCAGCATGTTCAGTGATCCTATTAATGACCACAGCACACTCTACCTAGAACAGAGCGTTCCCCATAATGAGAAATGCATGCCACATGCTACATATGAGAAACGGTAAAGATGGACGATGCTGCAGTCTGATTGTGTGTGAGTTCACTCGTGATTAAGATAAAAACGGGTCTAGTTTTGACAGTTTCTATTTGAACCCCCACTCTGCTGCATCTTTCTCTTTCCCATAAATCAATGCTCTTTTGTTCCCTTCAGTGGTGTCGTCGGGGCCAGTGTGTGAAACAGGGTGATGAGGGTCCAAGGCCTCAGCATGGCCACTGGTCAGAGTGGTCCTCCTGGTCTACATGCTCTAGAAGCTGTGAGAGCGGCGTTACATATCGTGAGAGGCAATGCAGCAACCCCAGGTAGGGAAAGACAAAGCAATGGCCTCTGACATTATATTTACATAGAATCTTACATAGCATTAGAAAAACATAAATGTACAAGTGACTACAAACTTTATTCAAAACCTCTTCTGTCTGTATTGCTAGCTGACAGTTAACACAAAAACTGAAGCGGCACCTAGTTTTTCTATATTTAAAAGTCCTCACATCCACTTGTCCTTAGTATCCTTTTAAAAACTTTTAATGATTTTTAAGCCAGACTAAAATAATTTTTGGATTTTAAATTAACTTAGGAGCGTCCTGGAATGGGAGTCTTATCATTGATATTGTTTTAAGTATCACAAATAAGTGTTTGTGTTCTAATTAAACAATTAAGATATAATAATGATATACTGAATGATTATTGAGCTTTAGATGTGTTTCTAGACCGACTCAGGACAAACCTTGTTAGCTGTTAATCCTCGTATCCAGTCTTTATGCTAAGCTATATGCTAACTATCATACTGCTGCCAGATAATACCACACTAACACATGTCCTCACTGTTCACACTATACAGCAAGTGTTACTTTGAACTACTACTGAATACACTACGAACGAACAGTTCTACTAAATGGTGTTAAAAGTCTACTAAAAGTCATCATCTGTCAAAGTATAGTTTTCTAGTTGTATAATTTCTTACTATAACATGCAGAAGACTTGGATGGCCTGTGGTACCTCTGATTGTTTGACTAAGGGCCAACAGTATATTAAGAATTGTGATTAAGTCACACAAGTCTGTCACTTATCTGCTAATTTAGCCCCCAACTCATCAGTCACTCATGATTATTGCCACTGTCAGTCAGTCAGGGGCCCCTATTCCAAATGCTGGGACTTCCTTTTTATCATGTCATGCCAAGATCCTGACAAGTGGTGGGCTAAATTAGACAGAGAGTGAGGAGGAGAAAGAAAGACAAGGAAAGGAAAGCTGGTGGTGAAGGGTTAGAAGGACAAAGACAGGCAAGTGGAATGAAGTGGGAGGAGGAGGGGGGGATGACAGAAAAGGGATTAAAAAGGTGAAAGATGAAATGCAGAGATATCAAACGAAAGAACACAACACAGAGAGAGTGGTTGGAGAGTTTGCAGCTGTTTTTGTCCCATCCAAGAGATTTTTAGGAACATAACCTGAGGATATACACCTGTGATTTCACAAGCCTTCACAAAGGCACACTTATACACACATATGGAGTGAAACATGCTCATGGATCAACACAATCAGAATTTCACAGACTCTACAGATAAAAACTATCTTAAATGTTTTATTACCATGATCATTATTTCAATACTTTGCACTCTACTATCACCCATGTTTGGGGTTTCAACACGAACATACAGTCACAGATAGAAGATGAAGAAAGAAGATCCATAAAATACTGGAAGCATGTTATTATGTGTTTCGTGCAGAAAAACCTTGAATTCTACACGTTTAAATCCATCTCTTTAGACCGGCATATGGAGGGAAGTTCTGCGAGGGTTCCTCCAGGTCATACAAACTTTGCAATACTGAAGACTGTCCCAGGAACACCATTGACTATAGAGCACAACAGTGTGCTGAGTTCAACGGCAAACAGTTCAGAGGCTGGTACTACACTTGGAGACCATACACTAGAGTGGATGGTGAGAAAGCTTTCCTCTTAAATTTAAAAAAAAAAAATCGTAACTAAAGATTATTTGAAATGATAAAAGAGGCCTTTTTATGGCCATTTTCTTTTTCTTCCAGATCAAGATCTATGCAAGCTCTACTGCTTTGCTGAAGGTTATGATTTCTTTTTTGCCTTGGCCAGCAAAGTTAAGGATGGGACATTCTGCTCACCAGACAGCTCTAATGTCTGCATTGATGGACTGTGTGAGGTAATGTTAAATGTTAAGCAGTTGGAAAGTAACATGATGTGACCAAACATTGATGTCAAAGTGCTACATTTATGTATAAGGCGTGTGAGGTCTTTCAAGTGGCTTCATGAAGTTTGACAATGGATGTAAGCAGTAAAGAACATCAATAGACTCTTTTATTTCTCCTGCTGTCTGCTACTTTAGATGTAATGAATAGTAAAATATTGACCTGTCACCACGTACATAATAAATGTTGGAATTTTGTAAATGTTGTAATCGAATGCGTACTGTGACGCAGTCTTGTGTTTTTATGTGTGTGATCTACACTGTCATCAAAAGCGCTGATGGTTTTCTTCCACAGAGAGTTGGCTGTGACCGTGTTTTAGGCTCCACAGCTGTGCCCGATGCTTGTGGGGTGTGTAAAGGAGACAACTCCACCTGCAAGATTTACAAAGGACAGTACACAAAACAGCATTTTACTAACCGTACGTCACAAATGAATTATTCACTTCATTGGTTTTTAGCGATTTTATTGGAAATGTTTTAAAACTTATATTATTAACATTTTGTTTTGTTTGCTGGAGTTTTATGCCACTTTTAATGCTTATTTAAGGTCTTTTAATATTTCTCAGAGTACTATGCAGTGATAACCATCCCAGCTGGAGCTCGGAGTATCCGTGTGATTGAACTGAATTCCTCCACCTCCTACTTGGCTGTCAGGGACACACATAGACGCTACTACCTTAATGGCCACTGGACCGTGGACTGGCCTGGCCGACACCCCATTGCTGGAGCAATTTTCGAGTACAAAAGACCATATAACAGACCAGAGAGTCTCATATCAGCCGGTCCCACCAATGAGACTCTAGTAATAGAGGTAGTAGGTCATTGGTCTCAGTAACATGATTAAGACCTACTTTCCTTCTCCTTTTTCTTTGTGACTTGCTTGCCTGTTTATTACCTTTTTTCCTTTAGGTGCTGTTGCAGGGCTGGAATCCTGGTGTGCATTGGGAATATACTCTAAAGAAAGCTGATGAGAAACTGATGAAGAACCGCATCAAGCACAATTATACATGGGCTATCATACGCTCCCAGTGCTCAGCCACTTGTGCTGGAGGTACGAGCAAACATTAAAAAAATGCAATGTCTTTGTTTTTAATTTTTATTTTTTTGGATTTATGTTTGTTTTTTCATAGATGCAGCTTTTTAAGAAGCAATTTAAAATCTGTTGCACTGATGAAAAAGCACGCATCACCTCTAATCTTGATCTAAAACCGTAAATGAGGAGGACAATTTGTAGATCAGTAGACTAAGCCTAAAGCTTAGTTCTTGCCTCTCTGACCTTTAATCAGTCTTTTAGCTCCAGGTTAAATGGAGACGAGAGTGTTCCCATCATTACTGAGGGGACATTAGAGGCTCTTGGTTCAAACTGGTGGGACCTCTCCTTATTCAGCTGGAGACTTGCTATTACAAACACACACACACACACATTGCAAGCACACACATGCCTGCCTGCGACCAGTGGCCTTTGTCCCCTGGGCAGGTAATTTGTGGCCAGAGGTTGAGGAACAAGGGTGCATTGTGTAGGCATGGCTATATTTGTGCATGTGCGCTTTCTTAGCGTCATCACTGTGAACAAAGCTCTTAGTGTAGAATTCCTATTGATTGACCCTTGAGGTTAAAGTTGTCCACCCCGGTCTGCTGCAGTACCCCCTAGCCACCTCCACCTCAATGAATACTGATTGCAGGTTGTGATGAGTTGAGAGTCTTTTGCTTTATTAAAGAGTGTGACTGACTAAGTGACCTATATTAGCTCAGATGTACAGACTGACTCTGCCTAAGTTAAAATAATAATCAAAGGAGTCTTAAAACCTGATTTAAGGTTTACTTAGATTAATCAACACAATATGCAATTGTGCAAGAAGTCACTGATGCTAAAGCCACTTCAGTCAAAAATAAATATTAAATAGCAGATTGACGCAAAATGACTGTATTCTTTAAACATTTCTATGTTTACTGATCTATACCCTATGCAGGCCAAATGAACACCAAGTCAGCATGCTACAAAGACTTGAAAGTGCAGGTGAATGTGTCGTACTGCAATCCCAGATCAAGACCAGCTACTGGATTGATGCCCTGCAACACCCAACCATGTCCTCCCAGGTCAGACCCTCAGCATTTTCATGTGTATTTGTTATGTTTGCTGATCATCCCCACTAGTCATCATGTATTATAAATTGTGTTAATTAATTTGAGTAGGTTTTCTAACATGTATAGGTTTTTTTTCTCGTTTGGCTAACTGCATATCTGTTGGTCTACCGGTCCAACTTTTTCATCTAAAATAAAAAATCTGTGTTACAACTGGATGGGGCAGTTGGGAAGCGTATCTGTAACCGGAAGGTCGCCGTTTCGATCCCCGGGCTCTCTCTGTCCTGGTCGTTGTGTCCTTGGGCAAGACACTTTACCCTACCGCCTACTGGTGTTGGCCAGAGGGGCCGATGGCGCGATATGGCAGCCTCGCCTCTGTCAGTCTGCCCCAGGGCAGCTGTGGCTACAACTGTAGCTTGCCTCCACCAGTGTGTGAATGCGAGAGTGAATGAATAGTGGCATTGTAAAGCGCTTTGGGTGCCTTGAAAAGCGCTATATAAATCCAATCCATTATTATTATTATTATTATTAAATGGTCCATTGGTCGTCACTGTCATGTCACAGCAAGAAGGGTGTGGTTGTACTGGTGTGACTGGGGCATAAATTTTAAGTTAACTGGCAAAATATTCTAAATTGGACATAAGTGTGAGTGTGATTGACTGTTTTTTTTTTCTCTGTTTTAGCTCATATCTCGTAGAAATCAGCTTGGTTCATCTCCTTTCTGATTTCATGTTCACCCATATATCACAGGTAGCCATGCAACTCTGTACAGACAGTCACTGCATCCAAAAAATAATTCCCAGTGACTTCTGATTGTCATTAAATGGGTTACAGACATTCATGTTTAAATGCAGTCGCTTTCTTATTTTCCTAACTTTGCATCTGGCACCACCATTAGATTGAGACAAAACTATGGTCATATGCAGACTTCTGTTGTTAAGATGACTTTATGTAGTTACAACATCACAACTCATGTAAGTCAAACGAAATAATTTGTGACTTTTAAAAAAAATTGTGAATGACCTCATCAATATATCGGCGCTCTGGTTTTAGATGGCTCTCAGTCTGGACATTATTAAAAATGGTATTTGATTTGTGCAGACGTTTCCTCATATTTTCCAGATACATATTTTGGATGGAAAACAGCACAATGTTTGGCCCTTCAAGACTTCAGGCTTTGTCAATTATTCAGTTGTTCAGTTGACATATCCTGGAAGGGCCAGCGTCTACTTCTGGCTACGGGACAAAATGTGTTCAGTTGTAAATGGTGAACATTTTCTACATGCATGCAATTCATGTTTGCACCTTAGGTAGCTAGAGGATCAGCTTTAGGGCCACCAGCCAAGTATACTCACATCTAGTTATTGAAGGTAAAAGCATGGCAGCGAATAGTATTCTGTCTACTTTGTTCTGGTGTTCTTACTCTCTCCCATCCTGCTATCTTCCTAGCTTCTCTCCTTTTCACCTTCTCTCTCCTTCACTCTTTCTCACTGCCACGTGTTGCTGGTCTGCAACACCTACACATCTGTTCTGCAATTTCTGTCAGAAGAGCTGTTTATTACTTGAGTAATTTCTTCCAAAGTTCCCACGCTATCTCCTCATAGTAAAGCCAATGAAGAGTGTCAGGCAGGACTGACTATATGTTTTACCCTTTTCCAACCCGTTAAAGCACCTGCTTTGTGATGATGACATTATCCTCACTTCAAAATGAAAAATAACTTACATTTTGGCCAGAACATGCGTGTGAGACACAGGGAAGAAAGAGAAGTTCCACTGGATATTCTGTTCATGTCTTTATCCAGTTCAGCATGAAAACCCCACCAACTGTCAGGAATGGTTAGCTTCTGTGTTTGTTTAATCCAGCAGGCCAAGAACTTGTAAACCCATTCACATGGATCATCACTTTGGGACCTAAGCTCTTTGGCCATATCAGGATCCACCTAGAACTTTTTTTCTTTTAGATGTCCAGCGCATTGGGGTATGCAAAATGCACTGCCAGTTTCTTTGGTGGGACATGCTGGTTCACTTCCAAACTCTGCTGATCAGAGCATATTTTTCCCACAAGGCTATACCAGGATGCTGGCCCAAGACTAATTGGGAAGTAGGAAATGTTATCATAAGCTGAGATGCACTTCCAGATTGCTGTGGTTAAGCAGGCTTTCCCAGTTGTTGTAAAATGTCAGCGGGGTCACCTTGAGTGGCACAAACATATTGAGGGAAAGTGGGAGTGAGACCCACTCCTGATTTTGTGGTTTTAGGGTGTAGTTCTGTAGGATCTTGGCTAAGTTTAGGTGGTTTGGTCACTGTCTGTATCCCTGACGCTGAGAGCCAACAAAGAGGAACAAAGATCAGTCAACATGGCCTGATCCTGTGGACATCATCGGAAGTGGTTCACCCGTTGACAGGCAAGATATATATGAACACACACAGGGGAAATGTCCCTCCCTTGTCTGCACTGCTCTGGTCAGTGTCATGTTGTGTAAAGTCCTGGCCAGAAGATGTGTGAGTGAAAGGCATTCTTAGGACAGCAGTGGTTTCAAATAACAGGAGAATTTGCGATTGCGTTGATGGTTTAAAATGGTTTCGAATATATAGATGTGTTTTTTTAAGACTGGATATTTACATACAGGGTGGGGCAAAGCATTTAAATATCACTAAATATCACCAAATGTCACTAAAACTGCAGGGACCAACTGATTATATTATTTCCAGTGCTCATTGTGAAAAGCATTGTCAGACTTTAATGAGGTCTGCAAAAAAATAAATAAATAAGATAGTAAAAACTTTATTTTCGATCAAAAGCAGACAGGCTTTCCGTGCCTAAATGTTGTTTCTATTAAGGCAGAATGCTGAACTTTGTTACACTGTATCATGCAAACTGAAAACTGGCACTCAAACGTTTTGTGAATGAAAAGATCATTTTAGCTAGCAGAGATAAAAGCATGTCTGTCTTAAAATTAATACCGAAAGAATTTACCTAGAGGCTTTGTTAGGCTTTTGCTGAGGCATCCATTTCTCTGTGCCCCTATTGTGAGCATTTCCATGAACACTCTTAGCTCTTGAAATATCAGCCAAATTCTTGCAAACGAAGGGGACGCTGCTGACAAGCTGTGCATTGATTCATGAGCAGAGAGGGATTTAGCTGGGACACTGACCTCATCTTGGTCAGGGTTGCATGTGCACGTGTAGCAAAATTCTGTTGTTGTGTGTGCAATTGTGACTTTGTCTGCCACATTTATAAAAATGTCATGCAGTAGCCAAACCAAACCATCAAAAAAAACCTTACGAGAACTCTCCATAAAGTTCTTGAACTAGAAGAACTAGAAGGTCAGTTGGGCACAATAAGGCCTTGTTGCAGTCATGCTTGTTTTCTGTAATAATATTTAGTATTTCTATGAAATGTAATATGATGTGACAGGAGCCTCAAAGTTAATACATTTCATAGAAAGTTTTAAAAGCAAAGTCAACAAAATTGTCGTGGTGCTGCCACTAATGCATTGCCTGCAATGTGTTTCTCAGGGGGCGGTGTGTCTGCGCTTGTGTGCCTAAAATGTGATGCAACATATACAGCAACATCTTGCATGCAATCATGCTGCATGATGCTGTTGTTGTTTTTGCCAAAAGCAGAATGAGTGGCCATCAGCTGCTGCCTGGCTTGCTTGCACAGAAGGCATGGCAGGGCAGCAGAAGGTGGTGACTTCAGTTACTTCTGAAGCTCTTTTCCACCCACACTTTCTCATCCTCTCATTAAGACAAATTTCAGTGTCCCTACTCCAACCCCACCTCAAAATCAGAGCCGCCAGCAGTCTTAAACTGCAGCAGTCTGTTAGCTCTCATACATTTATATTCATATTCTTTCTACTAGCCCCATCTCCCGTCTTCTCAGTGCTTTTCACTGGAACCCGTCTTGCTTGTGAAGTCATCACTCTCATTCTGCATTTTCACGGGCGTTTACCAAGTATGCTTAAAAAATTATCAAGGCAGAAGAAAATGTGGATACAGTATTAAACAGCGCATCGATATTATGTAATCCACTCTGAAATCATGGAATCCCAATTATGTTAGCGTTTATCTCGTGTTTTATAGTAACCAGCAGCTGTTCAAAAGGGGATTTTTCCTCTGCATAGCTCTGTCATTGCCTGAATATTTTCCTCTCGCTCAGCTTGTATTTGTCTCCATTTTGGAACAGGTAACCTGGGAAAATGCTACAAGATGACCACAAAACTGTCTCGTATTCACTCGCATAAAGCAGTGATGGCGCTGACAATATGTATAAGTCTTCAGAAAAGGAACACATGTCCCCCCAGAGCTTTGTTATTTCAGCCTTTTTTAGTATCTTTGTGGTTTATTGTATCATCATGTGTAGTAATGTGCTGTATTTTATTTAGTCATTTTTACTTTGTTTTCACTATTCAAGGGAAAAAATGGTGCTATGATGACAGCACACCGCTGCCAGCTGTGCAGACGATTCCCAGCCAGGATAAAAAATGTCTTTACTCATAGACACGCGGGGCGTTTTAAATAAAGGTTTACCAAAATTTAAGATAGGAGGGCCACCTCTGTACTCCACCTGGAGTTTTCTGTCATTACTGTTACCGAGTATTTTTTTAATGCCTGACAAATGTGTTTTTGTTATTTAATTATGTGCAATTTAAGCTCAGCATGGTAAGAAAAACAGTCTCAACGAGGTCAAGCTTGGTTAGTCTTTAAAGCATTTAACCACATCTTACGGCCTCCATTAAAGAGGGAGAGCCACATTTTCGTGGGGATGGTTTATTCGTTGTTGTGTGAAAGCAGTCAAAATCTTAAAACTGTGACATGCTTGGCAATTTAAATGCAACACAGATGGCGGTACCAAAACTGTGTCTTTATGCTTTTGCGCTGTTTATAAATGATTCACTTCATATGCATTGAACAGGCCTAGCTGACAACAGACACGATGACCTCTCAGTTAGGTGGAACCAATAACATTTTTAATGCTGCATTGAATTGCATTACATAGTAGGTTGAAGCCA